ATAAAAAGGCAAGTTACAGCAAAGCAGATCAATGTGTGAGATGGGAGGTGGGGGGAGGGTGTTTAAGAAAACAACTTCCCAGTGGTGTCGACTCTGCTCAGATGCAGCCCACTCCCTTCAACATTCTCCCATTTCCTCCTCCTGCCCTGTGCAATAAGAGCTGCTGCCCCACAGGACCACCTCCAGCAAAGCTAGATCCTCAGTCAGCAAAGAGAATCTCAGGCAGCCTCACAGCAGTTCCGTTCTTATGAGGGCAGGAAGGTTGTCAAGCTAAAGACAATATTAGGGGATGTCTGCTTACTATTCAAAGAATGAGAAGTCTCAGCCTGAACATCACATTCCTAACATGTTCTAGTGTTTCTAAATTTTGCTCTCAGATGCTGCTCACCTCACCAGAAAGGAGAGATGGTGCTTTAAATCCTGCTGACTTCCCCTGGGCCAGCTCTTCAAGAGTGCTGAGAGCAGGGGTATCAGCAAAGACGGCCATGAGCAGCTACTCTGGCTACAGGGCACTTGTTTCTACCACACCCAAAATACAAAGTCTCCTGTATGCAAAGCACAGCTTTATTGAGTTGTAACTGACATACAGTAAACTGAATATATTTAAAGTGTACAATTTGACAAGTTTTGACACATGTGCTAGGGTACTTCAAAAAGTTCATGGAAAGATTCATATTATCTTTTAATCATACTTTTACACGAATTTTTTGAAGTACTCTTGTATGTACCAGTGACACTATTACCACAATCGAGATAAATGGACAAATCCATCCTTCTCAAAAGTTCTCTTTTCCCTTTGTAATTCCTTCCACCCACTTCCCTCTATCTTCCTCCCCATCCCCAGGCAACCACTGATGTGTTTTCTGTCACTACAGATTAGTTTGCATTTTCTAGAATTTTATATCAATAGAATTATACAGGTTGTACTCTTTTTATCTGGCTGTTTTCACTCAGCATACTTATTTTGAGATTCATCCATGTTGCACATACCAGTAGTTCACTTATTTTTTATTGCTGAGTGGTGTTCCATTGTGTGAATATACACGATATGTTTCTCTATTAACCTTTTGTTGGACATTTGGGTTGATTCCTGTTTTGAGCTATTACAAATAAAACTGCAATGAACATTCATGTGTAAGTTTTGTACAGACGTATGCTTTCATTTCTCTTGAATATATACCTAGGAGTGGAGTAGATGGTGTATGTTTAATTTTTGAAGAAACTGTCAAGCCATTCTCCAAAGTGGTAGTACCATTTTGCTTTCCTGCCAGGATCATATGAGACTTTCAATTCCTCCACACCCTTGCCAACACTTGAAATAGTCAGTCTTTGTAATTTTGGACATCCTAATATGTATACAGTGATATCTCATCACAGTGTTAATTTGCATTTCCCTAATGACTAATGATATTGAGCATCTTTTCGTGTATTTGTTTGACATCCATACCTCTCTGATAAAGTGCCCCCTTCCTTTTTATATTTTGTTCTTTGTTTTCTTATTATTGACAAAACATAGCTTCTGATCACACAGCTATTTTTTCCTGCGCATGCTCCCAGTGCTTATCATCAGTAGAATTAGATTTTAAAAGTTTTAAGTACATACACAAGTGCATAAGTATATAAATAGATACATGCATGCCAATCAGCTCAGGAAAATGTTTTGTGGCATAACGTTAGAGAATAAAATGCCCAGAAGCTTCAAAACCAGTATCAGCAGGGCAGAGCTATTTGCATAGCTGTGTCTGACCATAGAGGTTTCCCTTTAAGCAAAGAAAAGCCTAGAACCCACTGTCATGGAAGGAAAGTGTGGCCTAATGGGAAATGTCGCTGCAGCTGATAGGACACGAGTGTTAGGCACAGTAAGCATGAGTTCCCATGGCAACAGACAGATAGCCAAAAGGTGGTAAGAACCAAATATAGCCACCACAGAGCAGAGGGCTGAAGTACACGGATTCAGAAGGCTGGCAGGCCTGACTTTGAATCTCCTTTGACTACTCGCACTGGGCTCTTGGGCAGATTGATTAACCTCATTTTCTTCATTTGCAAAATGGGGATGAAGTGGCCTCACCTGATTGTTGTACAAACAAATTAAGTGAGAAATTTGTATGGTGTGGAGCAAAGTTCCTGGCACTCATCGTCAGGATTTACTAAGCTCCAGAGTTTATTATAAAGGGGAAGTGTAGCATGAGGTTTAAGAGCATGAACTCTGGGGCCAGCCTGACTGGGCCAGAACACTGACTCTGACAATTCCTAGCTGTGTGACCTTGGACAAGTACTTCTTCTCTCTGTGTCACAATTTCCTCATCTGTAAAGTGAAAATAACATGATACAAATCTCTGAGTTTTGTTATGAACATTAACTAAGTTCTTATCTGCAAAGTACTTAGAACAGTGGTAGCAGACAGGAAGTGTTTGTTATTATAGATGCAGTGATCTCCCTAGCTCAAGTTTGTATATAAAAAGCCTCTTTACTATGACCAGTAATTACCTGTACTTCATCCCAATAGCTATTTGTAGAGCACCTACTATGCATGAACGCTGAACTAGGTGTTAGGAAGGATAAAAAAAGTTGTAAAGTATAGACAGTTTTCTGACACCAAAGAACATAAACCCTAAAACTGAAAATATAATCATGTTAGCCAATATGGTATGTGACTATTGCTAAATGCCTGGTGCAAATAGATGGTAGAGAAATTCAGAGGCAGAGGTTCTATCATGGAAGTGGGGTTAAGTACAAAGAGGGAGCGGGAAGCTAAAGCATTAAGCTGGACCTTCAAGGAAGATTAAGAATGAAATAACCAGAAAGCCAGGAGCAGAGAAGGTTCTAGGCCATGGAGTTGCTTAGATAAGACAAGGTTGCAAAAATGTGACGTCTTCTCGAGGACCAGCAAGAGGCTAGTATGGCTGGAGTAGAAGGAAGGCAAAGAAATCCTTTTGGAAAGGTAGGTCAGGGCCAGTTTGTGAAGGACCTTAAAGCTTGGTTATTGCATCAGTGTCCAATCTGTAGGCAGCAAAGAGTCAAGCAGTTTATTGTTAGTTTTAAACTGAAGGAAGGCAAAGAAATCCTTTTGGAAAGGTAGGTCAGGGCCAGTTTGTGAAGGACCTTAAATGCTTGGCTATTGCATCAGTGTCCAATCTGTAGGCAGTGAAGAGTCAAGCAGTTTATTGTTAGTTTTAAACTCTAATGTTGATAAACATTACCCATCTATTTTTTAAAAAAGCAACAGTGCAAGTATATAGTCCCCACTGCACACGGGAAATAAGAATCCCTGAAGTTGGGGTTCAGGCATATGGTCAGTGAAAAGATTCCATGAGCAATTCTGACATGGACTAAAAGTTGAAAATCACTGCTATAAAGACTAGATTACCATGAATGACTTCTGTGGCAGAGGGGTCAGAAGAATGGAGACTAGGGCTTTAGTGCCCATCCATATCAGGTGACCTACAGGTACTATTTCATTTAGTTCTGACAACAACTCTATGAGAGAAATGTTATTTATTTTATTTTAGAGATAAAGAAGCTGAAACTCAGAGATGTCACAAATGCACAAAATCACAGATCGGGATTGGAACCCAGGTCCCAGGCTTCAGGACCACTGCAATTCTCACTGTATCACTTGCCTCCCCATAAAACCCATGTGCATTTCCCCTTGGAACTCACTGCAGCTCAAATTACTTAATGTAGCAAACGTGGTGTTATAAATGCTATCTCCTCCCATTCTCTCTTCTCCCCTACAGTATTGTCTAAATTTTATCTTCCCTTTGCCTGAACTGAGCCAAAATGACAGAGGACTATAATTTCACACTAAGTTTATTTTTTAAACAAGTTCAATTAGGTTTCTCATAACTTTCTTTTTTCTTTCCTTTCCCCTTTCCCTACAACTTTTTCTAATACAACCTACACAGTTTTGAAACTCCTTATTCAGAGTAGGACACAAAATAAACTCTGAAGTAATATATAATTATTTCTGTGATTCCTTTTTTACCCTGAGGTTGATGAGGGGTGTTTGTATCAGGCTTCACACAAAGTCCAAAGGAAATGATGTGTATGCTCAGTTTAGCTTTCTCTAATGTCTACCGACGAGCACTGAGAAACTGTGTTATTTTAATCTAAGCAAGTTCCTCATTCTGCTTTTGAAAGCCATGCTCTGCAGGTAGAATTTTAGCCATTACATGTGTGTATGTGTCTGCATGTGTCACCAAGAGAAATTTACCATCCCTCCCTAAATCAGTTCTGTACCTATGTGTAGGATTCCCACCTTACATGCCTCTTTCTATTCCCCACCTCAAAGGGTGTTAGATTTTTTTCAGATTGAATGCTTTATTTTTCTGACTTACTTTCAGTCATTTGATACAAGAAGATATTTTACTGCTTTATATATACTTTCTTAGTTCCTCCACAATTGATTATTTTATAATTTGTTTTCCCTCCACTCTAAGTCAGAACCCGGATAAATGCTGATTGCCCTTTCTTTCTGGTTCAAATGTTCTTCAGATGCAATTGACAGTTTGTACTCTCCTTCATCCACATCACTGAGGATATCTGTCACTCTGGGGCTCAGACCCATGTGGTTTAGACTATCACTATGCCTGATAGGGCCTGAGCTTAATTTCTAGGCCAAAGAGGTTTGGATGTAACTTCTATACCTATCCTCTAAATATCCGTTTTTGCAAGTGACACCTTCATTCCATCAGGAAGAATCAATTGCCCATGTTAGTAAGGCTTAATGATGCCTTGAATCACAGACAACTGTGTACAAATGCGTGACTGTGTAATGCAAGTCTGAGGGGCAATAGTCACCTAGACTACATTGTGAACAGTGCCCCTGAATTTGAGCAGTGCACATACTGCTCAACTACACATAGCAGCCTTTTAGTAGGAAACTATTTTCTCTTAATGTAAATAGCTTTCTGTATTCTTAATAGATTCTTTTGCTTGCTTGGACATTGTAATCAAGGTCTTATAAATTAAAAATCAGTGATACAGTCTGTCCATACATCTTCCTTTTTTTAAGCCTTATCTTTATTTTCCCTATATTTTTAGTATTCCTTAGGATAGACTAACTTTGTTTTTTAAAAAATCATAGTCATTCAGATAACTTGAGAGACAGAGATGGTGTTATCCTCAGTAAATGAAAGTGAGTTGTAGAAAAGGAGTGTCATTAATGAGAGGCAAAACAGAGTTATCACACCAAAAGACACTAAACACAGTCATATTTATTTCAAAACATAAGATTGACTCTATATCAATAAATATTTTGAACACTGAGTGCAGAAAAACTATTGTGCATACTCTATAAAGATAATCAACTAAATAATCAGAGAAAAAGGTTTTTTACATCCAGGCCATTGATAAAACACTCTGGGAGTGGGAACAGCCTGATGACTGTTGCAGGGGTGTTGAGAGAGGGCAAGAGAGGAGTTGATAGAATCAGGAAGAATTTTCTACTCTCCTTTCCTTACTGGGGCCTGAAAATTAAAAATTTGGAGTTGAGAAATACCCCATTGTACACATATCTGATTCTATGGGTGCCGTCTTTCTCAATTTTGGAGAAGAATCACTAGTTAGTGGTCAGGGCCAAAAATCGAAAGCAAGTCACCAATTTGAATCTGGTTTCTAATAGGGCCATGACACCCCCCAGAGCCCACGCAGGAGCTGCTGCTGCTTGTGCTTAGAGCTCAGGCACACTCACAATGTCATTAACTGAAGAACTGCAGGCACTGCACAATGTCAGTGGCCACCACCAGAAGCTCTGTGTAGATCTGAGTCCTGTCAGTGCTGTCTTTATATACACCCATCATCAATCAGCCAGCCTGCAGTCCAGCCCCTCCACCCTTGGTAGCTGGGGATACACAGTAGCTGGGCGGCTGCCCAGCCCCTCACCCATGGAGGGTCTCATCTGGCCACTGCTTTTCTGTAAACCTCAAATGAAACAGAACCTCACACGCTTGGGGGTCCCCCTACTAATTATAATAAATGGTAGAGAAATGCTCCAGAAAGAAATAAAGGGAGACCTTTCGCAGATCAGCCTCAGTGGGGAGTAGAACATGCCTGCTATAGGTGGCTGCAGGGCATGGGAAGGACCCTCAGCTGCTCCTGGCTTTCTTGGGTCTTTTTCTCAGAAGTCATAGCTTTCCAGGCTGTAGAAAGGGACAGAGAGCTTGACACTGAAAGCCACTGCTGCTCTCAGGAAGTTTCTGGGGGCGGTGAGGAAGGAAGAGAGGTCTTTACTTTGTTACATGATTGCATGGCCATGAACAAGCAAAAGATGGCTAGTGAGAGAACAAGAGGTTTATGCCTAGTGCTCACAATACAGATTGGCGAGTTTCAAAGGGAAGAGTCATCTGAGGTTCTGGCACATTTGATGACAGCGGAAGGTCAAGACTTAGCCAAGGAAGAACACCAGCAGGGCAACAAGAGACACTCACATCCATGGGTATTAGAATCACAGGGCATTTTTTCAAGCTAGGAAAGACTTCAGTTCAACTCCTTCCTTTTCCAGAAGAAGCTCTGAGGCCTAGAGAGGTTAAGCAGCACACCCAGCCCACACAGCTTGTTACATCTGCTTGGGAGACGTGGAGAGGGGCAGAGAGGCTGCGGTGAGGATATGGTGCAGGTGAGTCTCACGAGGCATGTGCTTAGTGACACTCAGAACCCCCCCCGAGATGGAAACTTCCCACCCCTGGCCCTTTCCTGTTGATTTGTGACAGAAGTGGACAGGACAGAGCTTATCCGTGGGCTTCCCTCAGGAGGGGATGAGGAGCTGCAGGTGTGTCCTCACTTGCCAGTCCGAGAGGCCACCTGGATGGCTTTGATCCACTCTGTGCGCTCCTTGGGGCTGGCCGCTTGCAAGAAATAATGCACTTCATCAGCCGTGATGATCTCAAAAAGGTTCTCTTCCTCACTCTTCCTGCCTGGTGAGAGAGAAAGTAAATGGTAACTCACACGGGAACCAGAAAGGCCACTTGGTCCCTTCTCCTTCTGCAAGTCAAGAAATCTCTATATTTTTTGTGTTCTAAGGAAACTAAATATGTGGCTTTCAAACAAACATTGAACCAGAAAGGCCACTTGGTCCCTTCTCCTTCTGCAAGTCAAGAAATCTCTATATTTTTTGCGTTCTAAGGAAACTAAATATGTGGCTTTCAAACAAACATATGATTATATATAGTAATTGTATAAGTATATACATGGTATTCATATGGATAGGTACATAGTATAATCATATGTGTGTGAGTATATTTCTCAGAGATAAATAAAACACTCAAGGAGAAACATTTTCTTTCTTTTTTTTTTTTTTTCCTTTTTTGTCTTTTTTCGTGTCCAGCAACGGGATCGCAACCCTCGGTGCTGCACCTGCACCTCGCTCAGCCAGTGAGCGGGAACCGGTCTGTATGTGGGATCCGAACCCTCGGCGGGAGCGCCACCACACTCCCAAGCGGCGCACTGTAGCAGTGCGCCACCGGGCTGGCCCCAAGGAGAAACATTTTCTTTCACAGTTTATAATCAAACTAAATTTCTCACCTTTGCGCATCAGTAGTTTTTAATGAGTAACCTCTAATAGTTTCTAATGACTATCTTTCCTCTGCTCATAATGGAAACCAAGGGCTGACCCTAAAACATATATATATATTATATATAAGTACACACACACACATATATAATAAGACAAAATTGGACCTACCACCAATTTTTATCAAGTACTGAACTGTTTTTTATCAAGGGCTAAGTTAGAGCTTCTACTGAAAGATCAAAAGGCAATAAACTGACCAACACCATGATAGGACTTAAAACATCCATCTCAAATCAAAAAGCAACATGCTCCCTACCCCAAAACTAAGCATAATCCTAAAGGGTAGGGGGGTGGGCAGATCCAGGGTAGTAAAAAAATCTAGGCTTTTGCAGCTGTGGTGTTTTCCTGTCAATCTCTATAACACCATAAACCCAAGATGGCAAGACAAAACCAGGGTTTGGGATGGGAAAACCACATCTCCCAGTGATAACATTTATCCCCAGCACCTGAAAAGACAATCTATAGCCACGCGGTTATTCCATGCACCAAATCGTATACTTGTGATCTAAGGCCACCTAGTGCAACTGCCTCATTTTTAGAGGAGGAACTAAGATCCAGAGTAGTTAGGTGGTTCACCGAAGGTCACATGGCTAACTGACTAGCACTGACCTACCCATAACCCAGATGCTCTTTCCACTCGCCACACTGCCTCACTGCACGAAAGCTCCTTTCATTGTGGGAGATTTTCTGGTCTGGATATGTAAAAGACTTCCTTTAAGGAAGGTCCTGGCTGAATTACAGGTCCCAGGAGCTGAGCCCATTCCAAAGTGATGGGGTTTTCTCAACAGTGCTTAGGCATTTACTCCAGTAATCCACAAAGCCACTCCAACTGCCCAAGTCCTGGAGAGCTGGGGCAGCAGTGGGGAGAGAATAGCTCTTGGTCTCTCAGAGGTTTTTCTTTCATGCTTATGCTGATTGATTGGTTGGTTGACTGATGTTGGACCAGGGGGTCCAAGTATAGGAAGGGACTCTGAGTGGACACATCTCTCTCACACAGAAATTAATTCTTACCATCTGGGTTGCTCTCCACCGAAGTCACCACACAGCCTCTCAAGCGAATGGCTCCCAGGGGATCTTCCCCCTTGAAGAGAGAGGGGTTGTTCATTATGTTTCCAGTGTTCAGTGTATGGATATACCTTATCCTGTTGATGCAAAAGCCACACAGACTCACACTTGTATAGATCAGTGCCCCCAAATAAATAGGAGCAGAAGGAGATTAAGGAAAATTCCTTCTAGACCTACAGTTCTTCCCAATCCTCCACACTCCACTTCAGTGGGGCTGGGGAGACTGCATGAGAGGACACAAGTCAATCCGGACTTCAACTCTGGAGCAAAGTGGCAGGGGAGGTGGAGAGGCTCAGGTCACCACATCCTACTGAAGAAGAGCTGCATGTTTCTAGAGCTCTCAGCCCCATGACCCTGACATAATGACATAACCCTCACAGGAGAGAATCAAAGAGCCCCGTGCTGCAAGCAGAGGCAGAGAGGACTCAACCCGGATGCCAATATCTTTATGCTTTGGAGGGAGCTCATTTTACTGAGGAAAAAACCCTCCTCAACAATCAACATCTCTAATTGCTGGGCTTAAACAATGCTCTCATCCAGTTTGGCCTGGAAGAGTAATTATTACTTTTTTGCATATTAAACCAAGAGTAAAGTGTCAGACTGATTGAATTCCCCTGAAAATATCAGATAGGGGCAAACAAAATTATGTTGAGTTGACCAAATAAATCACACATAGTGATATTTTCTTCTGTCCCTGAGCTTACGCCGGCCTCAAAGGCCTAAGTCTCAGATCTTTGCATTGAGAGGGGGTAAGAAAAACATAGAGGAGAATGTGAGAAAAAGAAGTAGGAGAGTGAAGGAAAAGGGACTATCAACAGTGTACAACAGGAAGCCCAACTCAGAAATGCAGTGGAAGCTTCTGTCTGGATGTTAATATCTATCACAGAATCTCACCCCAGCAGGGTCATAGTAGTGCAGGTAGGCAGGGTCTTCTCTCAGAATGAACTTCCTCACTTTCCAGTTTTTCCTCCTATGCCCCTGTATCCAGAATCAACATAAGGAAAGGAATGATGAGTTCCTAGATTCACTCTGTACACACAGTACTTACGTAATCAGACTTTGCTGAACTTAAAAAGAAGGAAATGATGAAATAGTAACTCCAGAAGAAGCAGGCCCCGGCTCAGGTCTTTGTCTGGGAGATAGCACTAAGGCCAATTAACAATTTGGCTGTTATTAAAATAAATGGGTGAATTAAATTATTCTGAAGATTATCTTCCAGCTTTAGTATCACATAAGACATTACTATGTACAACGTACCATGTTAGGTAATGTAAGGGATATAAAGAGGTTTAAAAGTGGCCCTGCTCTTCAAGGAATTTATGACCTATGTGGAAATATCAAGTAGCAAATGCCCAAATCAAATAATTAGTATAAATAATAGGTTTCAAAGGAATTAAATGAGGGTTATACAATTATGGGCTTTGGATGTCAGAGAAATCCTCATAAAGACGTAGATTTATCCATGTGGGATGCACAGGATTTAGGTGGGGGAAAAAGACATAGGTGGGAAGACTTTTGGCAACATAAAAGCAGAATTGGAAATGCAGGAGGCATATGCAGATGTTGATGAATAAGACCAGCTGGCCAGAATGCAGGGTTCAGAGAGAGACTTAGTAAAAATAAAAGATGGGCGTTATTGCTGATGGCTTTTGAGTAGAAAGTGAAAAGATCGCAGTCACATTTTCGGAAGATTAATAGGCTGAAATGTACAGGATGGACCAGCTGGCTAAATTAAAGTCATGATGATGATAAAAAAAGAGGACATTAGGGGATGATAGCAACAATTCAGGCACAAAATTATTAGGAACTAACTTTAGGTAGCAGCAGTAGAAAATGAAAGGAATATGGTGGTAACAGCCATGATGAGAAAAGAATAGGACTTGGCCTTCCCCATTAGAATTAAACAGTGACATCATCTGGACTGTGAGTTTTAGGGCAGGATTTGCATCCTGCTTATTTTTGCTCCCCAGTGCCCTGAACAGTGCCTGGCCTATGGAAGCTGCTTCATCTGCTTGTAATTTGTAATTGCCATGAATTACCCAGTTATTTCAATTAGCTTATAGCAGGTTTTAAAGTGTCATGGTAAACCTGGTTGCATGATTTCCCACAGAAAGTTCAAATGACTTAAATAACTAGAGAAGCCAAAAAAATTGTTAGTTTAGAAGATATATAGTTTCTACCTTGCCAATACAATGAACATTATTTGTAATTTCTAAAGCACCATGTATTTATAGGCACATACACGAATTTCTCAACATTTTTCAATGCACTTGTATAGAAAGCAATGAAACCTGTGGTTTTGGCAAACAGTGCCTCCTTCACAAAGCCAGGCCAGGGGGGTTTAAAGGGAGCTTTCAGGAATGGGCATAAGCTTTTTTGGCTAAACATTTGGTCAAGGAGCTCATTTGCAAGGAACTTTTTACCTGCTTGAAGGACACAGCCAGGAACTCTATGTTATATATGAGGAGAGAAAATATTTCTACCTGCTATGTCAAGTCCAGAATGGCTTTTGAAGAGCAAAAACTTCTAAAAGTATGAATTCTTGCTCTTTGCCTTACCTAATGCTGTCCATAAGATAAGACACTAAAGTTGCCATCCCATACCATTTCCTCTTCACCTACAGACACATGTCACGTGCTCTTATGTGATTGCTGGGTAATCACTACATCATCATGAGTCAGTGGAACATACTCTTCTTATGTGATTGCTGGGTGATCACCAGGTCACCCTCAGTCAGTGGAAGAGGAAATTAACAGGAGCATGTGAAATCAGCCAACTCTGGCCAGCTGCCATATTCCTTTTAAGCCCTCACTGACATCCCAGTGTGGCATGTTGAAGAGTTTGACATTAGTAAGTGGTTGTCTGGCCATCTTCCAATTCATGAGCATTTTCTGAGATCTTAAGGAATGCAAACATGTCTGGGGTTTCCAAGAACTGTTGCTGAACTGTCAAAGTCATCTACTTATATTTGATTATATTCACTCTACAGGTGTTTATTGACTATTGTAGACCAAGAAGGATGCTGAACTGCAGCAGATACAAGAAAAGCATATATAACATATTGTCCCTCCCCCTCAAAGAATCTATATGTGGTTGACAACTAAACAAGTAGATAATTTAGTCATTGTCATAATAGAAGGAATTACATAAAAAGGGATTATATTGAATATAATCCAAGGTCATTCATCCTCAAACCTGCCACATTTGCCCAGTAGGATTATTTCCCCTGGGATGAGAGAAGGGGGAGAATAAGGTGGGCGAATGTCCTTCAGGTGGACACAGCTACTTCCCATCTTTGTGGTGTGGAGCACAGGTGTTTTTATTTCATGATAAGCTTTCTATGCAAGTTAACTCTGGCGGACTTCTAGCAGTGGACACAAGGGTACTTTACTCTTTGTAGTACTTAAAGAAGAATTTTTTAAAAATTTGGGTGATTCTAATATGAACCACTAAGCTAAGAGATTAGGAACATTAAAGGGAATTTCAATTCAAATAGGAGAGGTTTTTGCTCCTCATTCCCTGCCCCCAAAATAATTTAGAGGAAAGGATATTATCAAAGAACAACATTCCCGAATGCACACAGATTTCTGTTTTCTTCACATAAAAAGGAAGGATGACTTCCTTTTCATTCTAAGGGTGACTATTTAAATTGCTGTATTTTGACAATAGGGTAAATTAGCTTTTAAGAAAAAGGCTAGCTTGGTGGTTCTCAGGCTTGGCTGCACATCAGAATCTCTTGGGAGATGTAAAAATCCAGAGACTCTGATTTAATTGGCCTGGTGGGGGGGGGCGGGGGAGGGTGCAGTTTTAACAGCTCCCTGGGGAAATTCAAATGTGTACTAACTGTGCTAGTTAAGACTAACTCTGGTACCAATCAAACATCCTGTAAAAGAATGCAAAGCAAAATACATGTCAGTTTTCTTCTTGGCCCAATTATCTTCAAAACACACTCAGCCAATTAACGCCCACAGGCAATTTTTGACCATCCATGGTCTCCTACTGGGGTTCTTTGCTCAGACATGGATCCCGTCTAATCCAGACTTTATCTACCCCTTATTAACCTTCATGCTCAGCTTTCTAAGAGCTCCACTCTACATTAGGGCTTGTCCAATCAACTAATTCAAGAAATGGCTGATAAAAATATAGAATTATAGATGTAATCAACAAAACAAAGCAATAATGAAATTTCCTCTCCACTTACTCTTATCTTAACAGCCACCTTCCAGCAGCTGTAATCAAAGCTGGGACGTTTGGCAGAACCAGTGATGAAGCCAGCAGTGGGCAAATTCTGCCCAGGGGCGACTGCCAGAGCCTTCCCTAGATAGGCTGGCCCTGCCCCATGCCTTTCCTTTTATCTAGTCAGCTGATCACACTTCCACAGAAAGAGATTGGACTAGTCCATGAATTCTTTCTAAATCATCCTTGTATATTTCTTTAGATGCTGTTTTCTTAAAACCTGATATTAAGGTAAGTTTTCCATACTAATGACTCACTTCCCCCAGTGAAACCCAAAATTCATATATGAACCTCATCTCAACTAGCCCAAAGTCCATCTTTGTAAGTACACGTGCTCTGCTTTGGTTCTTCCCTCCTTGCTCATCACATTAATCACTAAGATGGAAGTTAAGGTTCCTATTATGAAGTAAGTCAAATCTCTCAGTACCCTGGGACCTATCAACAGTGCATGAAATCTCCTTACGGCAGGTGGTCCTCTCCATTGTACACTGAGCAATGCTAGTAAGACAGCTCCCAGTACAGCCAGGAAGGCAAGACCTTGGCCTTGCAAAGCAGCCTTGGCCTCTATGGCACCATGTGCTAGTATCAACTTCTTCCACCCTGAATATTCCCATGTCTTCCTGCTACATCTTGCTCCACCATGTGCTGGCCCTGGCTTCCTCACTCATTCCCAGCCCTTGTATTTTCTTACCTCTTGGCATCACATGCCTTGGTACCTGTTAACTGACTAGAGCTCTTCAGCTTATCCCAGCCCTTGCCTCCCAGACTGATGGTGGCCCCTACCTCGGACACCTGGACATCCCACCAGGACTATGCCCTTAGACTGGAGTAGATGTTTGCCTGCTGTTCCTGTGGAATTGGCCTCAGGCATGCCCTGGTTTTGGTCTCACCATGCTCTACCCACAGTCTGCAATGGCACATCCTTGCTCTCAATGGTATATGATATTCCCCTTTTGGCTGTGGCCTATTCCTGTTTTCCTAGTTACTTTGAAAGTGAAATGGAAGCACTTTTACCATGAAACATTCAGCTGTATCCTTTAGACAATTTATTTCCTCCGGCTGATGAAAAGGGCAATATTTTTCACGAAACATTATTGTTTTCTATGATAATGATAAAAGAGGCATTTTGCTATTTCTAGGGGCATCTTCTGCCTCAGTCCTCCTGCTCTAATGCCACTCTGACCATTGACTTAGCCATTTGTTTATCTTTCACTCTGTGGGTTTCATTTTCTGCTTGACTAGTAGTCAAACAAACTAAACATCATTTGGTAATTTGGAAATACAAAGGACCTGGTAAGGGGGAAAGGCTAGAAAGGAATAGTGGTGGGCACTCACCTGCTTCAGCAAACATCCCTGCTTGATAATGACCCCTCTGAACTCTTCTTTCAGAATTATGTCATCATCACTGGAATTCTCTTCACAGAAGAACCCACTGTCTGGCTGTTGGAAGTCAAACAGCAAGTTGACTTTACCGGACCTAGGCATATTGCTAAACATACTATCTCCATCTCTCCCTCCCGTCCAGCCACTAGGGTCGGCTCCTCCTTTTTCTTCTGCTATTGTGCATATCCCAGACTGAACTTTCTCTTTTCTTTTCTTTTTCCCCAGTCTGAACTTTAAAGGTTGTCCTTGGTTAGCCACTTTACCCTCCTCCTTTTTCTTGCTTCTAGAGGCCGACCCACTGTCTGGCTGTTGGAAGTCAAACAGCAAGTTGACTTTACCGGACCTAGGCATATTGTTAAACATACTATCTCCATCTCTCCCTCCCGTCCAGCCACTAGGGTTGGCTCCTCCTTTTTCTTCTGCTATTGTGCATATCCCAGTCTGAACTTTCTCTTTTCTTTTCTTTTTCCCCAGTCTGAACTTTAAAGGTTGTCCTTTGTTAGCCACTTTACCCTCCTCCTTTTTCTTGCTTCTAGAGGCCTTTCTTTTCTTGTCTCCACTCAAGGGTAATCTTGTCAATATCCTTTCATTTTCTAGAGTTTCCCAAGCTGTATTCCAAGTCTAGCTCCATCTTGCTCACCGTACACATTTCTACCTTAAAAGCCTTTCTTCTCTTGGAAACTCACAGCCACATCCTTGAAAGCAGGGTGGGCTAATTTAGAAGACACCACCCAATACTATCTCCATCTCCACCTTTGCCACCAAGCCCCTTCTATTACTTTGAGAAAATTGAGAGCAAGTGTCCAGTCTCGTCCCCTGAGGTCAGAAGGGACTTGGGACTTGGTCAGCTATAAGCAGGCAATGAATCACGCTGAGGAAGAGCCGCCACTGTGATGGGTATTTTTAGAATCCTACATTTAAATGGCTATAAACACATCTATGATTTGAAAAAAAAAAAGAAATCTGACAGTGGAACTTCCCCAAAAGTGAAATGAAACTCTGTCAGGGACATTCACTTCATTTTTGTAAGAAGAATGGTTCTCTTAAGTAGCTTCCTAACTTCTGTACTCTGATCCAAAATTAAAACAAAACCACCAAAATCCCCCTAGAAATCCACCATTGCTGGATTTCTCATGAGGTCCAAGATTAGGTCCATATTGTGTAATACAGAGTTTCCCAATCTCTGGTAAGCATACCATGGCAGATACACAAGATGGTTGTAGGAACCATCTTGTGAACATATTTTGTATCAAGTCATGCATTTTAATGTACATTTGGAAAAATACAACTAGCATATCACACCTGTGATTTTACGGATCCCCTTTGGAAAAGAAGCACCATGAAGGCTGGATTTTTGCCTGTCATCCTGCCCCCCACTTCTGTATCTCCTTGTCTAGAAGAGTGCTTGCCATGTACTAGGGCCTAATAAATTTTTTATAAATAAATTATTGCTTAGAATGAGAACAGATATGATACAGTAAAGTTTAAAAAGTCAATTTAAAGAAAATTATTCAAGTAAACAGTTTCTTTTAAATGAATTTTCTTGAGCAAGGGGCAGGCTTTGTGGAGGGGGTAGCTGTCAAGTCTGGAAAATGCTGGTGTAATAGAAGGTCCAGAAGGGCCTGGGAGCTTCAGGTATTTCCTTGTTTTCTGGCTGACTACCTTCCCTCATCCCCTTCCACACCCAACAGCTCTCTTTAGGGCTGGGCTGTTTCTTCTGCATATGTATCTATGAACTAAAATCAACATAGAACCTGCCCAGGGCAGCCCCCATTACAGGAAAAATTGATGGGTAGCTTTCCTCACTTACAAAGTAATAGAAGGCGTCGGGGTTGTCCAGAAAAGGGTTTTCAGCAGTTCCATCCACTGCACTCTTGGACAGGTCTCCAGCAGGCTGCAGGTAGCCCTCGTTGAGCAGTGAGGAGGCAATCACGAGGCCTTCCTGGCGATTCCGAACAGACTGGTTGGATACCAGCCAATCGATGACACAGTTTCCTGGATAGGACCACCAGAGGGAAGGTTAACTCTCCTTACCAAAGACCAAGCCACTGACAATCACCCCTGAACTGGCTCCAGAGCACCTAAGTGTCTGACCTGTCTCATCTTCCCTGCTATTGGAAGAAGGAAAAAAACAAAATCAGTGGGATAGATATCTGGAAACAAAAAGAACGAGGTAAAGGATTTTTAAAAACATCTACATGCTGCTTAAGAAGTAATGCATGCATCATATAATATATTCCATTAATAAACAAACATTTATTAAGCATCTACTAAATGTTAGGTACTCTAATGGGTATTGGGGAGAGTCCCTCAGGGTACCTAAAAGGGGGAGATGGGTGATAAGTAAGCATCGTAACAAGTGCTCTGCTGTAAGTCAATACTGTGGAACTATTGGGTCAAATCTGAAGGTGTGGAAGGAGTGGAGGGGGTGGGGGAAGGGGGCAGCTAGGCACTGTCAGGGAAAGTCACAGAGGAAGTGACACTGGGCTGAGGCTTAAAAAATGAGTAGGTGTTTGCCAAGCCTGTAGGCAGGGGCCGAGAGGAGAAGCAGCATGAACAGATGCATGCAGGCATGATGCAGCCCCATGAGGCAGGGGAGGAGTCGGCGAAAAGAAGGCAAAAGGAGACAAGAGGAGGAGGGAGGCACAGGGTGGCTGGGGAGAGCGTTGATGGTACATTTCGAAATTAGGCAATGAAGAGCCATTACAAGTTTTTAAGCAAGAAATAGCATGATCAACGTGTGTCTTAAATTAAAATTTGACGATATCACCTGTACTGATTGTTACACCTTAGAAGGACCTAGCAGGGACCTTGAGAAGTCATTAATCAACCTTCTGCCTCAAAAGAGGAGGAACCTTCTCCTGTTCCCTGTGCCAGAGGCTCTGTTGCAGAGAATATTGACTAAGAAGTTATTAATGAGATAGAAATAAAACACATGTATTTCATAGGACCAAAGTCCTTAGTTTAGAAGGCCGAAGACTGGAGTTTAGAGGACGCATGATCAACGTGTGTCTTAAATTAAAATTTGACGATATCACCTGTACTGATTGTTACACCTTAGAAGGACCTAGCAGGGACCTTGAGAAGTCATTAATCAACCTTCTGCCTCAAGAGAGGATTGCAAAGAGAATACAATGAAATTGACCCCTCAATTGAATTATTAGCAGGTTACAACAAAGCCTTGTATTGAAAACAAATGTAGACAATGAGGGAGGCAACCTAACATGCTGCCAGTCCAGGGTCACCCAAGTGGGATATGCCATCCTCGAAACAGGAGGGAGAGTAGTCAGTTAGCGAGACTTCCATGAATTTGCCCACTTTTCTTTCCCTTTAAGGATAAACTAATTGATATTACATTTTGGCTTTTAATCCTCACAGCAACCCTGTAAAAAAGGTAGGGTGATAATTACAAACCTCATTGTAAGGAAAATTAAGGCTTAGAGAGTTTAAGTTACACTTGCGTTGGGCTGTCACTTTTTAAGTGTTCTAACCCTTGAGACTGTGATTGTTCAGCTAGGCATGCTGACGCTTGACAGAGTTCAGTCTAGTCTCCACGTCACCTGACATTCAAGGTCCTCCACCACATGTCAGCGCTGCCTGGGTCCCAGCAACTGCTGTGGTCTTCATCTACCAGCTGAGGCCACCAGACTCCCACATGGAGGCTCTGCCCACAGAAATTTCTAGAACCCACCCTGACCTTCAATGGGAAGAACTTAAGAATTGCTAGTCCAGTACTCTGGGACTTGGTAACACATTACACAGGATTTAAGTCTGGCATCAATCCTACACTGGAACCTTCTCCTGTTCCCTGTGCCAGAGGCTCTGTTGCAGAGAATATTGACTAAGAAGTTACTAATGAGATAGAAATAAAACACATGTATTTCATAGGACCAAAGTCCTTAGTTTAGAAGGCCGAAGACTGGAGTTTAGAGGATTGAAGTCCTTAGTTTAGGAAGCCAAAGCCCAACCCTTTAGGAAAACTTGTAGGAATGCTAAGATTGAGAAAGACCAGAAAACTTTCACAGGACTACTAAAGCCTTTGATGTAGATAAGAAAATTGAAGCAGAACGGGGATTGTTTTGGGCTACTTTGAACTAAGTAGCCCTTAGTTCAGCTAAACTTAAATGATGGGAAAGTATGTAAGTTAAAATCTTCAAGGATATCCTGTTAGATTAATTAGTGTCTGGGGGACATTCCACATCTCACCCTAGGCTGTTTCTTTAAAATTTTTAGGTAGTTAAGCACTTTAGTGATTATCTCATTGTTTTTCTTTGTATGTCACATAGCTTAGTTTTATGACTCCTTTTTAAAAAAAATTTTAGTCTTTTTTAAAAAAATGTTTTGTTTTGTTTTTATTGGTTATGAATATTCATGGGTACAAATTGTCAACACTCATGCCTAAGATGTGACAGCCAGATCCATACTGGCAGCATGTCCATTACCACAAACTGTGATTATACCCCATGTCCCCCATCAATTATCCCCTCAATTATCCCTGACCTCCCTCCCATCCCCCTTTCCCCACTCCACTTTGTAGCCCTAAGTATGTTCTCTCCCTCTGCAAGTCCAACGCACCACTTTTGATGGTAAATTACTTGAACTATTTTAAGCTACACATGCTTAATGAAGATTGTCACATAGCCAGTTTGTTTATGTTTTCACTATGAATGATTAACCATCTGTTTTTCTTCTGTAACTTTCTTGTCTTTAAAATAAAAGCTGAAGCAAAAACTGACTTGGGACTGTGCCTGGGCTCTCCTCTCTTGAAGGAGTTTTCTTGGTACAGTCCCTTCGGGCTTCTCATTGCTCTTAACATTTGGGCTCTGAGTAATCTTTTGCGTCTCCATCACTCTGTGAGAGGTGACACTCTATCATAGTGTTCTCAGTCCTGCTAGAGCTAGGACTTGTTAGTTTCCCTTACCACCGTCCATAGCTTGGTATCTAGATCCCAAATCTCGGCCCTGACTTGTCCAATGCTAATGGGCTGCTGCCTTAACTCTCATTCCCATGAAATGCTCCATTATTAGCACTGATCATATCCTTTTCCCCTTCACCTTACTGACCTTGACCTGGACTATTTTCATGGATATCCTCTCAGATTCTACATCTGTTGTATCTTCTCAGAGTTTTCTTCCTTTGACCTCTTTTGTCATCATGGGTAAGCCATACCTCGCAGCTGCCAAACCTAGTCTCAGACAGTACATCCCATTTTGCTCCCCCAATGAGCCACCTCTACCAGAATGATCAATTTCTTTTTCTAGAGACATATTTTGCACATCTCTGCCCCATAACTTTGTCCTCACTGTTCTCTGCCCAGTCTCCTCATTGGGAATCTTCCACACAAATACTTAAAGAAAGTCAAACTCAGGTACCCACCTCCTAATCACCCCAACTATCCCCTGGGCTCTTTCTCTTTTCTGAACTCACAGAATTGATTGAGCTGACATGTGACCTCTTTAGTCATAATAACCACTTGAGAGCTTGTACCATATAGCACTTGGTGTGTGCTGGGCACGGTTCTATGCACATAACAGCAAGTAGATGCACTGTGATTATTTCCATTTGAAATATGAGGAAAGCAAAGCACAGAAGCTAATTTGCTGGCCCAAGGTTTTATAGCTAGTAAGTGGCAGAACCAGGATTTGAACCAAGGCAGTCTGGCTCCAAAGAACATGTTTTTGTTTTTGGTTTTTTTAAGGAATTTTTTTTTTTTTTTTTTTAAAAGATGACCGGTAAGGGGATCTCAACCCTTGGCTTGGTGTTGTCAGCACCACACTCTCCCGAGTGAGCCACGGACCAGCCCAAGGAATTAATTTTTTAATTACAACATATTGATTGTACATATTTATGGGATACAGAATTATATTTCAATGCATGTATCCAATGTGTGATGATCAAATCAGGGTAATTATTAGCATATTTTTCACTGTAAAACTCTACCATTTCTTTGTAATGAGAACATTTGATCTCTCTTCTAGCCATTTGAGAACATACAATAAATTGTTAATTATAGATTCCCAGTGCTATTGTACACCACTACAACTTATTTTTCCTATCTAGTTGTAATTTTGTGTAGAACATGTTTTTCATAACGACACCATACTACCTAAACTCATAACACTTAATGCCTGACCCTGTGCAGCCTCTGACATTCCTAATATTTTCCTTTAAAATCTTACATTGTATATCTTGATCCCTGTTTGTTATAGTAAGGGTTCCATCTTATTCAACTCTGTGTCTATTTCTAACAATTCTCAACATATTACCATTTATTTGAAAAAAAAAAATCCTTTGATTTAGCTGGAACTTCCAAAATGTTATCTTGAACAAGGTTTTTTCCTACCCTTCTTTGCATTTCCATGCTGGGAAGTTCAATCCTCATGCTTTCTGGTCTGCATTCTGTGACCCCGTCCACCACCATGGCCTCCACCTCACACATAAGGTTGAAGGAGAACTCTAATTGCCCTACCCAGTTGCCCCAATTCAAGCTTGCAAGTCTTTTTACCTGTGAAGCAGTGATTAAAAACCTTCTTGTCCTTCTCTAGATTCAGTTCTTTTATTCCCTTGTCGATGTCTTTCATGGACAAATACAAGGCGCTGCACAGAGATAGAAACAGATGGATGAGTGGGACGCATTTCAGAATGGTGAGTTCCCTCTGGGAGCTGCCATATGGGAGAGGCTGACCATGAGCACAAGCCTCCTGCCACCACATAGCCCCTGAGCCTACTTTCTCCACCAGATCAGAAGCAGCTAAAGGGCAGTATTCACACTGCGTAACTCTGTGGCCTGCACAGCATACAGCAAAATGCACTAGGAAGGTACTCAATGTCTCCTAAATTCATGACACTCTCTGTTGATTTAACTCTGGGTGCCTGAGGTGGAGAGTTGCCCTGAGTTGGGTGCTAACAATTAAAGGTTCTTGCGGTCAATTTTCCATACACATTCTAAATCTTTAAAGTACGTCAATCTTCACATCCCAACTCTTTTTTTTTTTTTTTTTTTTTTGTCCTTTTTGAGACCGGCCGCACCGCGCTCAGCCAGTGAGCGCTGTGAGCGCACCGGTCATCCCTATATAGGATCTGAACCCGCGGCCGGAGCGCTGCTGCACTCCCAGCACCGCACTCTCCCGAGTGCGCCACGGGCTCAGCCAGTGAGCGCTGTGAGCGCACCGGTCATCCCTATATAGGATCTGAACCTGCGGCCGGAGCGCTGCTGCACTCCCAGCACCGCACTCTTCCGAGTGCGCCACGGGCTCGGCCCCACATCCCAACTCTTTAAGGGTCTTCGAGAGACCATCTGTTGTAGACATGTGCCTCCAAGATAGTGCATGTTTCCACTAAGCTTATCTCCTATTCTAAAAAAGGTAAGAGAAAAGGCAAAATAGTGAGATGTTCTCGTTTTTGTCCTTGAAGTAATAAGCCAAAGATAGCCTTATCAGAGAAATTCTAAGCAAAAAAACCCCAGAAGGCCACTGTCATGTATCCTGTGGTTCCACAGAGTCCGAGCATCATTACCACTTGGCTCTGACAGCCCTGACCAAAGCTGTGGTCACTCGATGTCTCCAGTCAGCAGCTATAGCTAGACTAGGTACCTACCACAGGGTCTTTACCAAAAACCTTCCGTGGTGAGGGAAGATGCTCAGTCTCACTAAGCCCAACACACAAATTTTATCAAACTCCTGTGACATGCCATGTCTTGTGTTAGTCATGCAGAAGGAGTATCTTTAGTCTCCTCTCAGGGACTCTTCCCCACCCTCCCCCCATGTCAACAGAAGAATTCTTGTTGGACATTTTAGCAGCCAGCGTGGGATTCTTCCTAAAAGGGCTCCTGTTTCAGGGTAAGATCAACATAAAAGCAAAACTACCAGGAGGAAAGAGATTGCTGGAGAAAGGGGCTCATGTGACAGGAGAAAATGCAGGAAGGAAGGAATCCATCAGGGGCTAAATTTACCTGTTGGCCTCTGGCCACCTTTAGGCTACAACTATCACCTGCAATTCCACGACAGTCAACATTAGAGGTCATTAATCCAGGTCAAGGCACAAATGGCTTCCACCCAAGATGGATGTTCTTCCTGGCTGGTCCTTCCTGACTATAAATGCATGAATTTGAACTTGAAACTTTGCCTGCTTGAGTACATAGTCTCTACATTTTCCTCCCTACCTCGAGATCCTGAAGCTTTCTTTCAAGGCTAACTTATGGCTACTTTATAAATGCAATGAGTCTCTCTCCTCTCTCTCTTTCTCTCTCTCTCTCCTCTCTCTTTGTTAAACAATATGAGGGAATGTATACTCCATTAGCCTCCTTTCCTCAGGCTCTAGGCCTTGGAGAAGCCACAACCACTCCTTCAAACCCAGGCAAACATCTGAGTATACCAAGTGCCAGTATCAACCTGACCGAGTGGATACAGACTTCAAAGGTGGTCAAAGCAAGCCTTGGAGTGGGATCTGATGTGTTCTTCTTTGCCAGAGGGAAGGGGGAAAAAGGAAGGGGCAGAGAGAAGCAAACACAGAAAATCACCCTAAGTCAACGGTTTCTGGCAGTCGAATGGACCTCCTGGTGGATTTCCTTGCAAACTTCTGGCCTCCTTCGATGCATTTAATGGCCTTCTTGATGTCCCGAACCCAAGCATCTCTCTCCTCCAGGAAGGCTGCCTGGAAGAAGTGGTCCTGCTGTTTGGTAGTGGTGATCTTAAACACAAACTAAAAGTCAAAACACATCTCATTAGAAATGGGGCTGAGGCACCTCATGAAGCAGAGCAGTTGACCCAAATCTGTTCTGGGCAAGAGAGACCCAAATGCCAGGGCGGAGCATGGGTGGTAGTGAGAGGGACTGGCCCAGAGAGCACCGCACACACGGCAGGCTGCACATGGGCTGAAAGTCCATGCCTGACAAGGGGTTCACTGTGACTGGTGATGCCAACTCACCATCCTTTTGCCGAAGTCCTGACAAGGGCTAGTCAGAGTGCTTCCTTTCAGTGGGATCATTCCTTTGGGGCTGCTGTCACTTTTCTTCTTGTAGAATTCAATTCCATCTTCTAACAATACAATCCACATGGGTTTCCAGGTGTTGAACACGCTCCCCTATAACGACAATAAAAAGAGCTGAGATGGGCAGGGCTCTTTGTAAACTACATTTTCTTCCTAACAAAAGAGATTCTGTATCTTCTTAGAGTTGGTGTTAAAAATGTTTTGTGACATCATCTCTGTTGTCTGAAAATAAATCCTCCTGAGTCAGTGACTTCTTGGGGTGCTATTCTAATTTCTACCCCTGGCTCTTTGCTCAGGCTGACCCTGTTCTCTGGAATGCTCTTTCCAGCTCTACCGTCTCCTCCTTCTCTCCCTGATAATCTCTCCTTATCCTTCACAGCTCACTGATGAAGGCTGTCTAAACTGCACAGACCCATCCTGATCTCAGGGTCACCTCCTGGTTTTCTCACTGATCGTGCCACAGCTTCTGGAACTTTGTTATATGCTAGTTTATATAGTATGGTTCTTAAATTGTTTTCAGCGTGGTTATCTTCTCTTCCCCATGGTAATGACATTATCGGGTACTTTCTTTGGCTTGTGTTCCTGAGCATACAGTGGATGTTCTTTGAAATGATGCAAAAGATTATTTCCCAAATTGCCAAATGCTAGGAGATATCACACTTTGCTAAGAGCGACCAGGCCTTATTGTCTATCTGGTCCCCACCCAGACCTTTTCCTGCTGTAATTTCCCCTGCACCTCCCTTTTCGTGCTTGGTCCACACCACCAAGAACCACAAAGGAGCCACCTCACATTAAGTGTTGTGATGTGTAAGAACTGTCAGCAAGTCTTTCTTCTGTAACTAGTTCTTACCCGTGATCTGAGAGTACAGTTCATATATTTTTGTCTTCATTTATTTTTAAATTTTAACTGCCTATTTAGAGGAAAGAAAAAATATAGAAAAAAATGATAATCATTGGTATTGGAAGGGTTTTTATTTTTGTTTTAGAAAATTTCAGTTCTTGAGAGTGTTTCCCAGAATTGAAGAAAGAGTCAAACATTCTGAAATCAAAACATAGGAAGCTATTTTTCTAGTGCTTTTCAAAATATGGTCAACAGACTGCCTGATGTGACTCATTGAGGATGGGTTTAAATAAAACTGGCCCCACCCAGATCTGCCTCTGCTTATAAACCCTGGTAATGCTGTAGCGATTGCTGACCTCGTTCATGTTCTAGGTCTATCACTTCCCTACTGCTCAAACCCGGGCAAGCCCCTCACCTGCTCTGAGCCTCAGTTCCTAACACTAAAATAAGGATAATAATGACTATCTCAGAAGTTTCTAGCACATATTAAGTAAAATAATGTGGTCAGGACTTTGTAAGTTTGAATGTGCTCTACAAATGGGAGCTTGTACAATTAAATATGTGCTCTTTCATCCTCTCTCTATTCCTGGAAAATGACAATGAACTGGTATCACTATCATTATGTTAATGAGGAAGAAATTCAAGAGTATTAGGCCAGTTGCCACACGGAGTGATGACTGGGAAAGCTGAAGTCTCCGCACGAACGTGTGTGCGAAGAAACAAGTCACTTCTCTTTGGTTTCTTTCCTGGTGTAATGAGGTTCAGGGGTTGTGAGAGACTGCCTGTCCCTGCACTTGCAGGCCTCCCCTCGTTGTATAACATGTGTGTATTTAGGATGCTTAAAGGTATGGGATGACTTCGGTCAAACTTTGAACCTGCATTTGAGCCTCATGCTGCAACTTATTAGCTGTACATGTCCTTAGGGAAAACATTTAATATTTCTGAGCCACAGATTTTTTTTTCTTTTCTAAGAGGGAGACAATAATTTTATCTTAAAGCATGGTAACGAGTATTAATTAGGTATAGATCATGTATAAAATATGTATATATAAGGGTATAATGTATGCATTATACAATGTATATATTTTGTACATACATACATATGTATGTGTGTATATATTTTATACATACATACATGTGTATGTGTGTATATATACATTTTATACATAAAGTGTATAAAAACACTCTGTCAACTATAAATTGTCACTAAACTATATGTTTCAGGAGTGCAGGAAGCTACCTTACCATGGTATTGAGCCAGGTGCTCAATAAATAATTTTTGGAATGAATGAATGGTTGTAATTAAAATCATATTATGTGTTAATGAATAGATAAGACTGAATAAAGAAGATATAAGAAATGATTAACATAAGAATAGTAATAATAATGTAACTGTATTTTCTAAAACTGTTCTATAGCTATATGCAGAACTTAATAAATGGCATAGCTTTGGTCAGTGTGGAAGCAGCCTTCAGGGGACAACAGAACCATCATTCTGTTGCAGTTTTTTTTTTAACTAAGATAAAATGTATACACATCTATAATCAGCCCATAATGCCCTCATGTGCCATTACCAAGAGAATATAGCAGGGCTCTCTACTCTCCTTCATATGCATTTCCCCAGCCTGCTGTTGTGTTCAGTTCAACTCAGGGATGGCAAAAGATTTTATCTCAAGTTCCAACTCAAACTGAGTGGTAGTGGATGCCTGAGGCTGGACTCACTGGAGAAGGGTTGTGATCCAATAGCTCTGTCTACCATGGGTGTGGAGGCCACAGATGCTGGTATGCAAGCTGCAGTTGCTTTCATCCCTTGGTCTAATCAGATTTTATCTGAATACAAATGTGAAGAAGAAACTCAGACAGCAGCCTCATGTGCAGGTATGGCTACATTGTATACAAAGACCTTGAAAATAGTCTATAATGCCAGAGTGATGCTATCCATGTCAATGTGCCCTTCGGAAAATTCTTACTAAAAAGTTTTCAGTTTGGGGCTGGCCCCGTGGCTCACTCGGAGAGTGCGGCACTGGCAGTGCCGAGGCCGAGGGTTGGGATCCTATATAGGGATGGCCGGTGCACGGAAAATTCTTACTAAAAAGTTTTCAGTTTGGGGCTGGCCCCGTGGCTCACTCGGAGAGTGTGGCACTGGCAGTGCCGAGGCCGAGGGTTGGGATCCTATATAGGGATGGCCGGTGCGCTCACTGGCTGAGCGTGGTGTGGACCACTCCATGCCGAGGGTTGCAATCCCATACCAGTCAAAACAAACAAAAAAAAAGTTTTCAGTTTGGGGGAATGCCAACTGCCTCTTTAGCAATAAATTAATCATTCTGACTAGACCTAGGAAGTCTCTCTTTCTGGATTATATTTTTGGAGGGCTTTGGAAAGGGAAGAGTATAAGGTTCTTAGCCTCTATTCTTTGACCCATCCTGTCATCCTGTCATGACTACCACAAAATAGAATTATCATCCAATTCCCAGCAGATCCTGCTGCTTATCTCAAAACACAAAGGGCCTCTATATAAAGGTCAAGTTGCCCAAAGGAAGACTATTTATGCAAAGAAGATAAAGATGTATGGAACTATCACTTTGCTTGTCCAAACATTTCCTTTACTGTAGTTACTAAAATAATTTTTAAATTAAAATACACTCTGCACAGGCAGAATAAATATTGCAGACTAACACTGGATTATTTCCCTTTTTAAAAAATGGGCCAGGTCAGACACTATGCCAACATATGAAATGATGTCAGTTAAATGCCTTTCTGTTTTAATCTGAGAGAGACCCGTCCCCTGAATATAAAGAGCTCCTGCAAATCAACAAGAAAAGTACAAACGATTCAACTTTTAAATGGTCAAACTGTGTTGAACAAGTGTTTTGCCAAAAAAGATATTCAAAAGCTTATAGTGTTCAGCATCATTATTTATCAGGGAAATGCGATTCAAACCACAATGAGATACCTTTACAAACCTACTAATGTACCTAACATTTAAAAAGAGTAAGAGCAAGACTTGGCAAAGAGGCAGAATAATTGGAACTCCCACACATGGTTGATAGGAGTGCAAAATGTTATATTTGATTTAGAAAAGTGTTTGGCAGCTTATGCAAAAGCTAAACAAATATGTGCCCTTTGCATCAGCAATTCCACTTCCAGGCACAGATCTGAGAGAAATGAGTGTACATTGCCAGGTAGGTAACATACAAGAATGTTCATAGCACCTCTACTCATAATAGTCAAAAATAGAGAATAACTCAAATGCCCATCCAGAGGAGAACGCATAACTAAATTGTACAATGCAGTATATAAATTTATTATCAATAGAGTAAATTCATACAATAGAATACAACTTAGCAATTTTAAAAAGTGAATTACTGATACCCACAACACCATGGATAAATCTCATAGGTGTTATGTTGAATTTAAAAAAAAAGACAACAAATGTACTTAGAGTATGATTTCATTTATATGAAGTTCAAGAAAAGGAATAACTGATGAGAAAAGAAGGTATTATAATGGTTGTCTAGGACGGGAGAACAGACTAGGAAAAGAACAATGAATCCTAATGGGACACTGGAAATGTCTCCATCTGATCTGTGTGTTGTTTATGTGATGTATACATATATAAAAAATTATGGCACACTTCATGCACTTTTATTGTATGTATGTTATTCCTCAGTTTAAAAAACAATGTCATTTTGTTTAGTCATAACACAGGTCCTGGTAGTTAACTCCGTGAAGGGATTCACAACGATTATGGCAACATCACCCTTCAGGTTGCTTCTGTAGAAGGGAACTACTCCAACTTAGTTACCGCTCTCATTTAATCACTGGACAAACAGCATATTCATGTAATGCATGTTCCTTGATTGAATCATGGATTTTTAAAAAAGCAGCTATGCAGGATATTATTGAATCATTTGGGGTCATTTGAATGTAAAAGATACATTAGATAATAGCATTGTATCAGTGTTAAATTTCTTGGGTGTAATAATGGCATTTGATTATATAGGAGAGTGTCCTTGTTCTTAGAAGATGTATGTTGAAGTATTTAGGGGTGAGGTAGCATAGTGTCTACAACTTATTCTCAAATAACTCAACATAAAATTGTCTGTGCGTATATTTACACTGCATAGAAATATCAAGATAGAGAGAGACAAAGCAAATGAGCCCATCCACTATCCATTGATGAATCTAGGTAAAGGGTACTAGTTTCTCCATTTTTCTGTGGGTTTGAAATTTTTTAAAAAACAATTGGGGA